TGATGTCCAGACAAAGAGGATTATATTTATTTACTGCCCTATAAAAGGTAAAGGTACCTGTGGGTATAATACTGGGATTTTTTTTTTTTTGGAAGCCATATTATAGATCCATTCCAGCTGATTGATTTGCAACATTGCTGCAACAGCCTAACAACCAGAGAGATTAAAAGCATTGCAACCTCAGTCTGAATGATCTAACAGAACTGCTTTTCTGTCTCACACTGTATATCATTATATACATGGATAGTACTGTAGGCTGCCATGAGAGCAGAGCTGCATAAACATTTGACTAGATGACTTTACTGTGTTTCAAAGAGACAGATGTAAACAGGTTGTAATGTGACTACATCAAGGTTGGTAATGCTTTTTTAAAGCTGTCTTGGGAACTATTAGCAAGTCAAACACTAATACAGGTTGTAGAACCTTTTCCACTACAAAACACACTGCAGCACATGACTGAATGTGTCAGTAGGTTTGTTTGCAGTTAATTTGTGCAAAATCTTCATGGCCATTATTTTCAAGCATAGCTTTAAATTATGTAAAACAAAAACAAAAACTTTTTGATAAACTGGCAACCTGTCCAGTGTCCTGAGTCCTGACCCTCTACAGGATAAGCAGCAGAGGTGATGGATGGACTTATTATTATTTTTAAAGTTATGGTAAGGTAGCACTGTAACATCAGAGGTCACCTGAGAGCCTGCAGCTCACCTGTCTGTGTCTGTGTTGCTCAGGCTACTGCTGAAAGCAAGTGGACAATAAAATGAAGCCTGCCATTAATGCTGATGGTTAATTTGCCTTTCAGTAATTACTGTTGCATTTGTGTTAAGTATAATTTTGTTAAAAAGACTTGCAGTAAATATTTGGTGAAACTGTAAAATTGTTTTCAACAGGTTTAACCAAATTATAGCTGGTGTTGTATATGTATATATACGATAAATAAATATGGATTGTGAAGCTCATAATATATGACACAAACTTACTTCTTCGGTGCTCTTTGTATTTCATTTTGACTTTTATTTTATAGTTGCTACTTCCACTGTGCCCAGCCCCTGTGCCAACTGTAGCTTTACTGGTTGTTCTACCAGTAAAGTGCAAAGTTCAAAAGAGAAACAAACACATATTGTCACATATGATCTCTGGAGAACAAAGATTGCGGGGTTTTGGTGGTATTTCAAAACTAAAGATCTTTCCAGCTGTGCTTGTTTCATGTTTGCATTTATGTTTGCACTGGCTGGTTTCTCACAGTGAAAGAATGAGCTCATTGATAAGTGCCAGTGGAAGTTAGTTAATCAGGGGTCAAGGCTGAGTGTGGCCCCGTCATTTTTTCTGTGGACAGACAAAATACAAACTGTCCACAGCTGTAGTAAGGAGATGAGTTTGACCTTACTGGTACTCAGACACTGAAAGCATTCAGAGTTTGTCTGCTCTGAAGCTGCTGGGTATTCAACAGGAGTTATCTTCAAAACTTAAAAATGTTTTTTTTTGGCTCTGGAATAAAAGATGTCACTGGCTATTTAGCAACTTTGACTTAAACCACTATGACCATCAAACGGTAAGACTGATGTGTGCTTCCTCGTTGACAGAAGAGCTGGACGCATTTTATGCATGTTGCACAGTAACGCTATTAAATGTTTAAATCTTCTGCTGTGACGTTATCATCTTGTAGCCTTATTTACCTGAATGCTTTTCTGCAAAGCCAGCAGTTACCTATTTGCACAGAGATTCATAGTTTTAACAGTGAAGCAAAGTGGCTGCGTTCAGGATGAGTCAAAGCTGCTGCCACATTTTTCTTTCAGTACAAGTGTAAATATTGTTTGATCTAGAGAATTGGCCTGGCCTCAATGCAGGACAAAATACTCATATTCAAGGAGCTTGTGTCAGAAAATATTTGCTACTTTTGTTAAAAAAAAGAAGTTAAGTTTTAGCTCATGGTTTAAGAAGACCCTCACAAATTATGTATTGCTGGTTTCAGAAATACTGTATCTTGTCATTTTAGCTCTGAAATACAGTGAAGGGGAATCCATAGTTTTCACATTATGAATACATCACAATATGATGACTGATTGCTCCCATGCAACTACAGTAATGTCCTACTGTATGGAAAATATTGCATTTACATTAAGCAAGATATCGCAGGGAAGCAGAGTACAAACAGAAGATCAAGTTATGTAACCCAGAAGCTCAGATTGGTGCAAAAAACTGAGTCAGTGCTGCTCATGAAGGTTACAAGATAAAAATGTTGAGTGAAATAGTTGTTATATACAGTAGTAATCATGTGAGGACATAGTCGAAAGATTTGTGCTAATGAGGCACTGTTCATTCTCCAATATTTTATAATAAATGCACACCAGAATTAGTTATCCAATCAGAGCCCTCCACTATGGGAATATCCTGGAATAACAGCTTCATTCCCTGCTCAGCAGAAAGAGTCATTAGGGCACAGTGAGCCAGTGAAACATTTCCCACCCTGAGACCACCCAGTCCTGCAACTCCCAGACAACTTCACTTTCATCTAATCTCAGTCCACTGAGCTGAATACAAAGCAGCACTTGGCCTCTGTGCTGCTGCTGTAAACAATCAGTTGTGTGTTTTTAATCTTTATGTGCAGGATATGTTTTCTTGCTCACAGTCAAAGGGCTATGTCTTGTCAAAAGAATCGTCTCCTTATCGGTTTATCTTAAGTATCAGTTTAGAAATTGCAGGAAAAGGAGCAATAAAGCAAATCAGTGTTGTCTTTGCAAAGCAGCGCACGTGTAGGACTGAGCAGTAGAGACTTGCTTATTATCAGATGTTTGTGGGCTGGATGGACCCTGAAGGTTGAAGTGTGAGCTTGCATATCGGAGAGGCTCAGGTATACACTTGAACAAGAAAGAGTCTTATGTCAAACATAAGCTTTCTCACCTGTCTAGAATAGAAAACAGTGATGATATTAAAGTGGTTGAAGGGTAATTTCTGCATGTTTCTGCTTTCTTTTTCCTAAAGCACTTTTAAGGATAAGGATAATCACCTTTATTGGCCAAGTACGTTACACACAAGGAATTTGTGGGTGGGTCCAGTGTTTTGCAAGGACACTTCGACACATGGAAGTGGGGGGTGGGGTCCAGTGTCTTGCAAAGACACTTCGACACATGGACTGCTGGCACTGAGATTCAAACCTTCAACCTTCTGGTTGGGAGACAACTGCTCTACCCACCGCACCACTGTCGCCTCCCCCCCTTAGCCCCACTACTGACATATGTCTAGGTTTGGCAATGTCTGTTGGTCAGTTGGTCCACCACTTTGCTCCAGGCTGGAATATCTATCCAACTGTTGGACTGAGATGTTATTCTGTACAACTAGTCACAGTGCCCAGAGGATGACCTGTAATAACTTTGGTGATCCCTGCACTTTCCTTCTAGCACCGCCATGAGGTTGACATCTGTGGTTTTGAGTTAAATATCTCAGGAGAGAGTATTCATCCAGTGGCGGATGAATTGCCATTACACTTGGTGCAGACATTGATGTTGCCTCCTCAGGATGAATTGTAATAATTCTGATGACCTTTCCACCACCCTTTGGTAAAAAGTTTTGATGTGTGCAGTTCATTGTTTATGGCCAAAGCAAAAAAACTAATGACATTCCCATTAATTGAAATGTAGTTTGTGTTTAACGCTGCTTAACAAATTTTTGTATGGTAACACTCTACTCTGAAGGTCCATTCGTAGTTTCCACTTGTCCTCAAACACACATGGATGTACTTCTATTTATGCTATGTGTACATGGACACAATCCACTCGTGCACTAGAGAATGTGATGCCAACCTCTTAATTCCAAGAACAGTTCCTTTGTTTGTTGTACTTGGTTGCACAACAAATAAAGAAAACTGTGTGGTCAAATGCTTAAGAAGGATAGGACCAAGGATAAAACAAGCATTGAGCTTACGTATATGACTTGCACATGCGCAGACAAGGTGTGCAATATATATTGCACACCTTGTCTGCGCAAATATATGTATATTTGTGTGTGTAGGATATACAGTATATGCATGTAAACACTGCGGTCCTGATCACAGATGGGTTACGACCTTCGTCAGCCATCTGGCCTGTCATCTCATCTCCTTCTTGTAAAGGCACAATAGCCCCTGTCCCTATTGTCTGGTGTCAGCTTCCTTCTACAAAGTGTTCTCGTTACAAAGTGAAACACCACAGGCCACTAATCATTAACTCGGGGGCAGGGGCAGGCTCAGGGCAGTTAGTCCAGCAATGAGAATGTTGACTGTGGTTTTACTTTTCAAGAGAATTTGAAATAAAAGGGGTGACTGAGAGTCTGATTTCATCAAATATAATTTTCACTGTTTCCTGTTTTAATTGATGCGATGACACAAAGGTTTTTGGCTTATATCTGACTGAGAAGCTGGTATTATGCTATAGTTAAACCTAACAATACCTAAGAAAGCAGCAAGTGTAGCTGTTCAGTTGTAACTGGAACAATGCAACTCTAGCAATCAATAACGGCTTAAGTAATTCAACTATAACAGCATTATGTCAGTGCTTTTTACAATTCCAGACTCACTGTGAAGAAGTGATTGGAATGATTACAGTATCAGGACTAGCGCAGTGCTAAAGGTGACCTTTGTTTGATCTTCTGATTTAGCAGGCAGCCGTTTCCCATGGAGCAGAGAAACAGCTTGAGATGTGAGCCTCGATTTAATTTCCTGACATAATATTCAGAGCCACTCAACAGTCACTTTGCTTCCAATCATTGTGCCGAATTGGTCTCTCATATCCTGCTTTAGAAACGCTTCCCTGTTACTGGTCATCATCTCAAAAAGCTGAATGAATGTTGTGATGTTGACTGTATTTTAACACTAATGATGGACTTTCAGTGTGGTAGTTGTGAAAGGACAACACTGGACATGTTGTGCCAGGAGGAAAAACTTGATTTCACTTTCAGTCAAGCACATAGCCTGAATTATATCTAATTGTTGGCAACAACCTAAACATTTCCCCTCCTGTCTTCAGGTACAACCCGCCACCCTCGACCTGGAGAGGTCCAAGGAGTGGATTACAACTTCCTGTCTGTTCAGGACTTCCTAGAGCTTGAGCAGAGTGGCACACTACTGGAAATAGGAACATATGAAGGTGAGCATGATGATCATAGCTGGCACTCGTTGAGACCCAGGATAGTGTGGGTGTCCTGATTTACCACAGATACAATGAGCATAGCAGC